ATGGCGGGGGGACAGAGGGGGGACACTGCGGGGGCACAGGGACACCCAGGGCTGTGGAGGAGCCTGCGGTGGCAGAGGGGACACTGCCTGTGACCCCGTGTGACCCTGCTGTCCCCTCCTGTCCCCGTGTGACCCCGTGTGACCCTGCTGTCCCCTCCTGTGCCCGTGTGACCCCGTGTGACCCTGTGTGACCCTGCTGTCTCCTCCTGTCCCCGTGTGACCCCGTGTGACCCTGCTGTCCCCTCCTGTCCTCGTGTGACCCCGTGTGACCCTGCTGTCCCCCTGTCCCTCTCTCTGTCCCTCTGTCTGTCCCCAGCTGATGCTCACGGCCGTGCTCAACTGCCTGTTCGACTCACTGAGCCAAATGCTGAGGTACGGGGACACCGGGGGGACAGCAGGGACACCGGGGGGACATTGGGGACACTGGGGGGACAGCAGGGACACTGGGGGGACACTGGGGACACCGGGGACACTGGGGGTCACAGGGGGGTCGTGGTGTCCCCAAGGGGCTCCTGGGGGAGCAATTTGGGGGAGCTCTTGGTCACAGCCTGTGACCCCTTGTTTGGGGTGTCTCCTGGCTGTCCCCTGGCTGTCCCCTGGCTGTCCCCAGGTGACCCCAGCCCTGTCCCCTGGCTGTCCCCCCGGTGTCCCTGGCTGTCCCTGGGTGTCCCCTGGGTGTCCCCGTGTGTCCCACCCTGTCCCCTGTGTGTCCCACCCTGTCCCCTGGCTGTCCCCTGGCTGTCCCTGGCTGTCCCCTGGGTGTCCCCTGGGTGTCCCCTGGGTGTCCCCATGTGTCCCACCCTGTCCCCTGGCTGTCCCTGGCTGTCCCTGGCTGTCCCCGGGTGTCCCTGGGTGTCCCTGGGTGTCCCAGCCCTGTCCCCTGGCTGTCCCTGGCTGTCCCTGGCTGTCCCCTGGCTGTCCCCTGCGTGTCCCCGTGTGTCCCACCCTGTCCCCCCGTGTCCCCAGGAAGAACGTGGAGCGCCGGGCGCTGCTGGACAACATGGAGGGGCTGTTCCTGGCCGTGGACGAGATCGTGGATGGAGGGTGGGACTGTGCCTGTGACCTGTCACCTGTCACCCTGTCACCTGTCACCTGTCACCCCCCCGGGACTGTGCCTGTCACCTGTCACCTGTCACCCTGTCACCTGTCACCCTGTCAGCCCCCGGGACTGTCCCTGTCACCTCTCCTTGGTGTCTGTCACTCCCTGGTGCTGAGGTGTCCCTCTGTCCCATGTCCCTGCGTCCCCATGTCCATCTGTCCCTCTGTTCCATGTCCTCGTGTCCATCTGTCCATCTGTCCCTCTGTCCCGTGTCCATCTGTCCCTCTGTCCTGTGTCCCGTGTCCCTCTGTCCCTGTGTCCCATGTCCCTCTGTCCCGTGTCCATCTGTCCCTCTGTCCCGTGTCCCTCTGTCCATCTGTCCCTCTGTCCATCTGTCCCGTGTCCATCTGTCCCTCTGTCCCACGTCCCCGTGTCCCTCTGTCCATCTGTCCCTCTGTCCATCCCTGGCTGTCCCTGGCTGTCCCCGGGTGTCCCTGGGTGTCCCTGGGTGTCCCAGCCCTGTCCCCTGGCTGTCCCTGGCTGTCCCTGGCTGTCCCCGGGTGTCCCTGGGTGTCCCTGGGTGTCCCAGCCCTGTCCCCTGGCTGTCCCTGGCTGTCCCTGGCTGTCCCCGGGTGTCCCTGGGTGTCCCTGGGTGTCCCAGCCCTGTCCCCTGGCTGTCCCTGGCTGTCCCTGGCTGTCCCCGGGTGTCCCTGGGTGTCCCTGGGTGTCCCAGCCCTGTCCCCTGGCTGTCCCTGGCTGTCCCTGGCTGTCCCCGGGTGTCCCTGGGTGTCCCTGGGTGTCCCAGCCCTGTCCCCTGGCTGTCCCTGGCTGTCCCTGGCTGTCCCCGGGTGTCCCTGGGTGTCCCTGGGTGTCCCAGCCCTGTCCCCTGGCTGTCCCTGGCTGTCCCTGGCTGTCCCCGGGTGTCCCTGGGTGTCCCTGGGTGTCCCAGCCCTGTCCCCTGGCTGTCCCTGGCTGTCCCTGGCTGTCCCCGGGTGTCCCTGGGTGTCCCTGGGTGTCCCAGCCCTGTCCCCTGGCTGTCCCTGGCTGTCCCTGGCTGTCCCCTGGCTGTCCCCTGCGTGTCCCCGTGTGTCCCACCCTGTCCCCCCGTGTCCCCAGGAAGAACGTGGAGCGCCGGGCGCTGCTGGACAACATGGAGGGGCTGTTCCTGGCCGTGGACGAGATCGTGGATGGAGGGTGGGACTGTGCCTGTGACCTGTCACCTGTCACCCTGTCACCTGTCACCCTGTCAGCCCCCGGGACTGTCCCTGTCACCTCTCCTTGGTGTCTGTCACTCCCTGGTGCTGAGGTGTCCCTCTGTCCCATGTCCCTGCGTCCCCATGTCCATCTGTCCCTCTGTTCCATGTCCTCGTGTCCATCTGTCCATCTGTCCCTCTGTCCCGTGTCCATCTGTCCCTCTGTCCCGTGTCCCTCTGTCCATCTGTCCCTCTGTCCATCTGTCCCGTGTCCATCTGTCCCTCTGTCCCACGTCCCCGTGTCCCTCTGTCCATCTGTCCCTCTGTCCATCTGTCCCGTGTCCATCTGTCCATCTGTCCCTCTGTCCCACGTCCCCGTGTCCATCTGTCCATCTGTCCATCTGTCCCTCTGTCCCATGTCCATCTGTCCATCTGTCCCTCTGTCCCACGTCCCCGTGTCCATCTGTCCATCTGTCCATCTGTCCCTCTGTCCCATGTCCATCTGTCCATCTGTCCCTCTGTCCCACGTCCCCGTGTCCCTCTGTCCATCTGTCCCTTGTCCGTGTCCCCTCAGGGTCATCCTGGAGAGCGACCCCCAGCAAGTCGTGCACCGCGTGGCCGTGCGGGTACGGGGCTGGGGGCTGGGGGGCTTTGCCAAGGTCCCCAAGGTGGGGACAGGCCCGGAGTCACCATTGTCACCACCCGGGTGGCCCCAGGACCCCAAGGTGGAACTGGAATTTGGGGAAAATTTTGGGGGGATTTTTGGGAATTGGGGGGATTTTGGGAGAGTTTTGGGGGGATTTTGGGAGATTTTGGGGGGTTTGGGGGGATTTGGGGGGGATTTTGGGGGGTCTGGTGGGGGTTACGGGGGTTTGGGGTCCCCCCAACAAGGGGGTGTCCCCCAGGGTGCCCCCAACCCGCCTGGGGGGACACAAGGGACACAAAGGGGGGGCGTGGAGCTGCCCCCCCTGGCTGGGACCCCCCTGGGGACCCCAAAATCCACCCGGGACCCCCCTGGGGACCCCAAATCCAACTGGGGACCCCAAAATCCAACTGGGGATCCCCTTGGGGACCCCAAATTCACCTGGGGACCCCCAAAATCCACCCAGAACCCCTCTGGGGACCCCAAAATCCAACTGGGGACCCCAAAATCGAGCTGGGGACCCCAAAACCCACCCGGGACCCCGCTGGGGACCCCAAATCCAACTGGGGATCCCTTTGGGGACCCCAAATTCACCTGGGGATCCCCAAAATCCACCCAGGACCCCTCTGGGGACCCCAAATTCACCTGGGGATCCCCAAAATCCACCCAGGACCCCTCTGGGGACCCCAAATTCACCTGGGGATCCCCAAAATCCACCCAGGACCCCTCTGGGGACCCCAAATTCACCTGGGGATCCCCAAAATCCACCCAGGACCCCTCTGGGGACCCCAAATTCACCTGGGGATCCCCAAAATCCACCCAGGACCCCTCTGGGGACCCCAAATTCACCTGGGGATCCCCAAAATCCACCCAGGACCCCTCTGGGGACCCCAAATTCACCTGGGGATCCCCAAAATCCACCCAGGACCCCTCTGGGGACCCCAAATTCACCTGGGGATCCCCAAGGTCTGGTGGGGGTTACGGGGGTTTGGGGTCCCCCCAACAAGGGGGTGTCCCCCAGGGTGCCCCCAACCCGCCTGGGGGGACACAAGGGACACAAAGGGGGGGCGTGGAGCTGCCCCCCCTGGCTGGGACCCCCCTGGGGACCCCAAAATCCACCCGGGACCCCCCTGGGGACCCCAAATCCAACTGGGGACCCCAAAACCCACCCGGGACCCCCCTGGGGACCCCAAATCCAACTGGGAATCCCCAAAATCCAACTGGGGACCCCAAAACCCACCCAGGACCCCTCTGGGGACCCCAAATCCAACTGGGGACCCCAAAATCCAACTGGGGATCCCCTTGGGGACCCCAAATTCACCTGGGGACCCCCAAAATCCACCCAGAACCCCTCTGGGGACCCCAAAATCCAACTGGGGACCCCAAAATCGAGCTGGGGACCCCAAAACCCACCCGGGACCCCGCTGGGGACCCCAAATCCAACTGGGGATCCCTTTGGGGACCCCAAATTCACCTGGGGATCCCCAAAATCCACCCAGAACCACTCTGGGGACCCCAAATCCAACTGGGGATCCCTTTGGGGACCCCAAATTCACCTGGGGATCCCCAAAATCCACCCAGAACCACTCTGGGGACCCCAAATCCAACTGGGGATCCCTTTGGGGACCCCAAATTCACCTGGGGATCCCCAAAATCCACCCAGAACCACTCTGGGGACCCCAAATCCAACTGGGGACCCCAAAACCCCCTCTGAGCCCCCCCGCACCCCCCAGGGACCCCCAGGCCGAGCGCAGGAGTCAAACCTCGTCGTTTATTGGGGTGAAGCGGGGGGGGGACGTTGCTAGGAGACGGTTGCTAGGAGACGGTTGCCACGTGCAGCTCTGGGTGTGGGCGGTTGCCAGGGGCAGCCCCGGTTGCCAGGTAACGGTTGCCAGGTAACGGTTGCCAGGTAACGGTTGCCAGGTAACGGCCCCGGTTGCCGGGCAGGATTCGGGGCCGGCCCAGGGAACGGGCAGGGGAGGGAGGGGGCGTGGCCAGGGGAGTGACCAGCACCGAGTGACCACAGCTGAGTGACCATCACGGAGTGACCATCACTGACCATCACTGACTGACCATCACTGAGTGACCATCGGTGAGTGACCGTCACTGAGTGACCACAGCTGAGTGACCAGTCCCAGGTGACCATCACCAAGTGATGATCACTGAGTGGACATCAGCAAATGACCGTCACAGAGTGACCACAGCTGAGTGACCATCACTGACCATCACCGACTGACCGTCACTGAGTGACCATCACTGACCGTCGCTGAGTGACCACAGCTGAGTGACCGCCACCTGGTGACCATCACTGAGTGACCAGTCCCAGGTGACCACCACAGAGTGACCATCACTGAGTGGACATCACCGAGTGACCATCACCGAGTGACCATCAGCGAGTGACCATCACCGAGTGACCGTCACCAGGCCGTTGCTCTCTAGAGGTTGCCAGGCAACGGTTGCCAGGAGGTTCCCGGTTGCCAGGCAACGGTTGCCAGCTGCTGGCTGTTGTCCAGTTGTCCCCAGGTGTCCCCAAGGGTTTCGCTTCCAGGATTGTCCCCAGGAATTGTCCCAGGTTTTGGGGGGCGCGTTGTCCCCAGGGGAGTCGTTCCCCAAGGGCTGTCCCTGTCACTCTGGGGGTGTCCCTGTCCCTGTCCCTGTCACTCCCAGGGTGTCCCTGTCCCTGTCCCTGTCCGTGTCCTGTCCCTGTCCCTCTGGGGGTGTCCCTGTCCCTCTGGGGGTGTCCCCACCCTTCCCGGGGATGTCCCTGTCCCTGTCGCTGTGGGGCTGTCCCCATCCCTGCCCCTGTCCCCCTGTCCCCTCAGTAGGGTGAGAAGAGCAGGGGGGCGTGCAGGGGTCCCCGTCCCTGTCCCTGTCCCCTTGTCCCTGTCCCCATCCCTGTCCCCCTGTCCCCCTGTCCCTGTCCCTGTCCCCCTGTCCCTGTCACCATCCCTGTCCCTGTCCCCTCAGTATGGCGAGAAGAGCAGGGGGGCGTGCAGAGGTCCCTGTCCCCCTGTCCCTGTCCCTGTCCATGTCCCTATCCCCTCTGTCCCTGTCCCCCTGTCCCCCTGTCCCTGTCCCCCTGTCCTTGTCCCTGTCCCTGTCCCTATGTCCTCTGTGTCCCCCTGTCCCTGTCCCCCTGTCCCTGTCCCTGTGTCCCTATGTCCCCGTGTCCCTGTCCCTGTGTCCCTGTCCCTGTCCCCCTGTCCCTGTCCCTGTGTCCCTATGTCCCCGTGTCCCTGTCCCTGTGTCCCTGTCCCTGTCCCTATGTCCCCCATGTCCCCCTGTCCCTGTCCCCATGTCCCTGTCTGTTTCCCTGTCCCCATCCCTGTCCCTGTCCCTGTCCCTGTCTCCCGTCTCCCCCTGTCCCCACTGTCCCTGTCCCTCTCCCCTGCCCCTATGTCTCTTTGTCCCCCTGTCCCTGTTCCCCTGTCCCCTGTCCCTGTCCCTGTCCCTGTCCCTGTCCCCTGTCCCTGTCCCCTGTCCCTGTCCCTGTCCCGGTACCTCGGAGCGCGCCCCTCCCCCGCCGCGGGGCCAGGGCACCAACTGAGCGAGCTCGGGCAGCAGCGAGCGCCACTGCCGGGGGGACCTGCGACAGGGGACACGGGGACATCGGGGACATCAGGGACACCGAGGGGACACGGGGACATCAGGGACATCAGGGACACCGAGGGGACACGGGGACACCGAGGGGACTGGGGACACTCAGGGGACACGGGGACACCGAGGGGACAAGGGGACATCGGGGACATCGGGGACACCGAGGGGACACGGGGG